CCGCCTCCGAGAAATACAGATAGGTGCTCGATTCGTATTAAGAACTATTGTGTAGTTAAAAGCCCTGATATATATCTTAAAAGTTCTGTAATGTCCTTTTCCAAGCGGCGAAGAAGTTTTAATTTGATATGCTGCTCAGATTATAGCTCCATAAGACTCACGTTCCTGCGAAGGAACCATGTATGCGTAAAATGGCAAATGTGGATCGGCAAGAATTCATCCACTAGGAATTATATTACTTATGGCGTAACTTTTTAATACCTATGAATATTAGTATTAATGTTCAACAATTTGATAGACGAATTGTGTTACCATTAATGAAGCGTACAAACATTTAATGAAATAAGCATTTTATAACAAGGAAAAGAATGGAAAAACTACTATTTCAACGAAAATTGAAGAAAACTGTAAAGATGACCTTAAAATACATGAGCGCTATTTATCGACTTTGCAATTTTTCTGAATAATAAATTATAACGAATCCCAATAATATGTATTTACATTCTTCACCCAACTATTCTTGCTAGAAGAATTATTTTGCACTCCTCTATAGTAGATTTCTCTCTACAAAACTATTGCGTTATGTATAACGATTCTCATTCTTAAACGTTCGTAAACTTTCCGACAAAATCAACGCATATTCAAAACAATTAATCTTACTTTGAAGAACTCATAAATTCACTTACCAGAAGCACAGGAACTCGGAAGAAACAATTCTCTCAAAAATGCGTTGAACAGAAACGTCGAATTTTACATATCAAGGACGAGGCTTTCTTAACTGAAGAAAAATGTACCACTCCTTGATCAGATTTCGGTCTCTTGTAACGAATTTCGATTAATATTGCACGTTTTCAACACAGAACACTGCAATATCCGTGCCGATAAATGTACCGAAAGGTTAAAAAGCCGACTGAGAGGATTTTAAATGATAAAAACTTGAATGGTGAAGACTCAATCGACGTAGTACCGACGATCGGAAATTACAAATGGCGACTGGTGTTGCGTTCCTCGAGTACCCACAGGCCTTTGTAGTTAGTTTGTAGTTTTGCCGCGCGGTGGCACCACCGCAACGTAGTAGGTACGGCAACGTCGCTATGAAGCTCGAGCATTAACCGACCGCCAGTCATGGTTTACCAGGAGTAGGAAAATAGACGTTACCCGACGCGAAGTTAAAATTATAATTGTCCATCTGCCAAGATTTTATCGTTTAGGACGAGAAGAGCCGACTCTCCCGATTGGGTTTTTACTGACGATAAGAATGATACTGGAGGTAACCGATTCGTCAAAGGCGCAAAAGGTTTGTGGTTATGATTGATGAAGTATGGCTAATTCGTATCATAAGTCGATAGATTATCTTAAATCGTAATAAAAGAATATAAGAAGAGACGAGCGCAAGTTCTCAGTGCAGACGGGAAGCAAATGAATAAAATTTGAATAAAATAAGATATAATTAATTTTTTGTTACACTTATGTAAATATATAAATTTAGGATACGCTTGTATTACAATTTATCGTTAGAACGTTAGTTCAAGGATCGCCGGATTACGTTACATAATTCCAAAAATGTAAATTGCAATTTTACCTACAGATTTAATATTTTATTTTAGTAATTCTTTAGCTAATAAAGTTTAAGGAAATGTTCTTTTTACAGGCTTATTTTCTGTACTGAAACTGATAAAATTTTTTGTCAACTTCTTTATCGATAGAAACTGAAGAACCTACTTTTAATATTCAGCACCTTCGTGAACAAAATGGTACTGCTTTAAATGATTTTTATTAAAAAGGCTTTTGTATAGAAGCTATAAATATATAGTTTATAAATATATAGCTTCATAAGTTGTAACATTCAGAAATATTTAAATCAGAAAATTGTAGAAACGTAAAGGACTAATTTACAGGCAGGAAGTGAACATTATTTTGTAGATGGATGGCGGATTCGGAGATGGAGAGAGAGATCAAGAGCCCCGCCTCGCGCGCGTTTAGACTGACTCAAAACAATATTTTATTGCTAAGACACAAAACATCCCCCGTTCGTCCCTCCCGACATTTCATCAAGCCCATTGCCGCGACCGCTCCGTCCTCGAATTCAGTCGGCAACAGTCCACAGTTTTTACAATGATAATTGAAATATAATCGACATATCTAAAACTTAAAAAAAAAATAGTCAAAGGAGGACTTTGAACTCGCGTTAATCGGGTCAACAATGCCGTGTAGTAAATTCACAGAAGTAATGATACAGCCCTAAATGAGAGCACTGTTTGTTATCACAAAATGGTGGTGGAAACCCGCGTTTACGTGTACAGGATAACCCTCGTCACCTGGCGGATATGGTCTTTAAATATTCCACCGCCGCACTTTACCAACACATGGGAAAAATGTGTTTCTCGGGACTTGACCTTTTTAGAAGCCTCAGTAATTTTTCGTTGGAATGAGGAAGTACTCGCAGGCGTTACACATGACTCACAATCGTTAAACAGAAAGGAGCGTGATTAAAGCAGTAACGTCTGGCATTCGCGCAATCGTTCCTTGTACTTTCGCGTTCTCATCTCTCATATCTTTTCTGTAGTATTCTCGAAAGAGTTATCGTTAATACTTCTACAAAAAGACTCATTTTAATGACTGCAAGAGGTTTGGCCACCTTTCCGAGTCCGAGTTTCAAATAGGTATATTTTTTCTTAAAAAGTACCCTGGGTGAGTTCTTTGCCCTGAATAAAATACAAGCGACTCTGTATGCACCTACACTGTAGGCGAGGCAATAAATGAAAAAGTAGAGAAGCGATAAGCAACGTACAAACACGCATTACGAGCATTTACCTTCAGACATGCAGCGATGCGAGACTTTGATTATACTTCGTTGCAACTGCACATTCGGAACCATGTTTCGAGACAAGAAATCTAATGAGTTTGCGTACTAAGAACTGCTCTCTTTATTGCTGAATGAGCCAGGAATGAAACGGCGGAAGAAAATAAAAATTATAAGTCACAGAATTCTCCACCTCTCTTTATATTATTAACAATGCATTCAAAATTGCTTTTTATAAATATAATAAATTTAATTGGTTACCTCTTAACCCTTTCGCGATCGCGGAAATAGCCATCAGAGTACACATTAAGGTGAAGTGAAACACGTCGAGGAACTTGATCGACATCGATAAAGAAGATTTTTCTAAATGCCTACGTTGCCGACGTTCGTTTTTATATTGACAGCTGTGTCGAATTATATTGGGTATTGTACCAAATGGCATACTCCACCTGTCGTATTCGTACAATAATTATAAAGAAATCGAAGTAAAACTCCAGAAAGCCTCTGGATTCATGCTTTCTGGGGCCCTAATTGACTGCAGAGGGCCCCTTGCGCCATCTGTGATTTTCAGGTCAATTAAATTTTCACTCCGAGACCTCGTATTACCATCGTTTTAGCATAGATGCGTATACAACACTTTTTTTTGCCCTATCCCGTTGAAATGCGAGTTTATCGATTACCAGAGTGTTCTAAATTGTCATAAAATTATCTTGACCCTTTCGTTTCTCATATCAGAGCCTTCGATAATTGTATATTGATCGAAATATGAGAACTCGACGCCATTTTGGTTCTGGTCTGGGCTGAGTTAAAAAATTTTGTTAAAAAATCCAAATTTTGAATGTGTCAGGACAATTCTTAGATGATCAGGAGCGACGCGTCAAAGTTTCGGAAAGTTTGGTCTAATACCCTTAAAAAAAGTGTTGTATTCGAATCGACTGATTTGAAGGGTGTTTCACTTCACCTTAAGAGAGTCTCGCGGAAAATTGTTAGATATATTTTAGTATTATGTTTGCGTATGATAAATTTAAAAAATGACGCTTTTAGTAGATGCCGGATATACACGGCGCAGGCCAGGGTGAAGAATTTAGTAGAAGCCGGATATAACCGGCGCAGGGCGAGAAAGGGTTAAGAAATTAAAGATAAATATTTAGAAGTTGCATAGAAGCAGCATCGCCATTCATTTCCCGAATAAAGGTGAACAACTGTAAAGCCGGTTTATTTCTTACGCCATTTGCTCGTAGAATCGGATTTCTAGCTAAATAAAAGGACACGTTAGAACGATTCCCGTAATTACCGCGAACCGACCGCTGGTATCACTCGTCAATGTCACCGGTATTTTCTTCGTCGGACCATTAGGAACTCGGCAAATCGGTTACTTGGAAAAGGCCGTATCACAGAAATAGGGCTGAACGTGACCCAAATTATTCATTGCAAATCGTTTTGCCGAAAGCCTGCAGGAAAACGGTAGAAGTTGCGATTCCTTGTAGCGACAATGATGTAATTCTCTTCCCCAGATTTGACCTAAAAGGCATGTCACCCGAAGATACAAATCGAGCAGGTGATCGCATCTCGCTGGCTCACCAATACCGATACCATATCTAGTCCCATTCATTTATCAAACATATAATTATACGTTAGAAGGTCCTCGATCGAACGATCCTCTACAAGGTACATCGACGGACCGTTTGATCCCACACTTGTACCGTCCTATTCATCGTCTCGGCAACTCGTTCATTCATAACTCTGCAAAAAGAGCGTTAGTTCGATATCCCTCAGGGAATGCTCCTATAAACGGAGGAACGCGAATACTCTGAACGGCCAAAGAGCTCCCTTGTCTCCTACGATGGTGGGATCTATGACGCTCAGATAAGGAGCTTCTAGCTAAAGGAAAGGACACCTAAAAAATCCGATTCCGGCAATTAGCGCGGCACGCTAGTATCGCTCGTCAATGTCACCGGCATATTTTTTTCGGCGGAACATGAGTAATGCCGCAAATCCGTTACTCGAGCCAAGACCGCGCCAAGGGAACGGCGGCCGAGGAGTGAATGGAGGACGGCGCGGAGGGCTCGAGAGCTCGGCTCGAAGTGTGCGTTGGTTCCCGAGCGCGCCGTGCGTGGGGCATGTGAGCGCAGGATCGACCGCGCAGCCGGTTTGCGCAGGTCCCCGTAAAAAGCCGGGGGCGCGATTCCGTCGGTCTTCGGATACCGTCTGGTCTCAGTTTGTATTTAGTTCCACCTTGAATCGGTGCCTCGTCGTCGATCTCGTGCTCCCGATGCCCACGAGTGCCGAGCGCCGCTGACTTTTCATCTTGTTTTAGGATAGTGCGATAGTGGATACCAGAGTATCAGTGCGTTAAGGGACCAGTTGATTACGAGCAAGATGCGCCGAATACAGTTCGCTGCCGTTTTCGCGCTGCTCTTCGTAACTCGAGGTGAGCTTTGCATTTAGATATTTAGATTTAAATACGGATTTTGTTACGCGCATCGATATTCGGGAAAAATGGGCTTTTATAATTCAGTGATAGGGGACTGTGCCGGAATTATGCAGGGCACTGGTATGTAAAAATAATGTGGAAGGTCATTTTATCCAAGTTCTGCCGGTGGGAGTGTTATGTAGTTGCGGTTTTTGTCGGACTTTTCATTGCGCTGATAAAAAACGACCGCAATTTACTTGGATATCGCGGAGTACCTGTTTTTTTTTTTTTTTTTTTTAGTTATTCTATGTTCGATTGGTGGATTCCAATCGATCTCGTACTCCGGATACCCACGCAATAGGCACTACCATATATATTGAAAAAGTCGTGTTACTGTCGAGCATCGTTAACTTTAAACGACGCGAAAGGACAGTACGTATATGACCTATCGGAGTTGTCCCATGGAAATATCATTGCCCTGAAATATCGGTGCGAAGTTCGGTCATGGGAAATGCATTGACTACCGCATCGATGGCCGCTGTTTCCGCGATGCGTTTCCTCGGTCCATGGTGGTTTAAATTCTTTAGGGATATTTCAAATTTTCGAAAAATACGTTGAGCCGTTCTTACTTAAACTTTAACAGAGCCGAGTCAAACAGTTTGTTCGACTTTCGAATATACCTATATGCGCTTCATCTTATCACGGAGTTTATCGGTATTGATAAAATCCCGTTTTGGATAATTCATGCCGTACATTCCGAAGTACGAGAGTATCAATGGAGGATGAGATACGTGGCAGAAAGTGCACTTTCTTCATATCTCTCAAATGTTTCCCACAGATTTAGGAGGTTGAAAAATTCTGTAATAAATTCTGTATATCGATTTGCCAAATTGATTTACTAGAAGGTTCCAAAATGATGGATCCATTCGTATCGAACCGTGTATCGAAATCGAGTACATTTTTTGCAGCTCCCTGTATTTTTCATCGCCCAACTTGGGATTAGTTAACAAACCTGAGGCGTTTCATAGAGTGTCTTGCTGCAAACAATTTCATTTAAACGTGACCACGGTTCCACTGTTACTTTCCCGTGCCACGAGTCGCGGTCTACGTTCGCAGGTTATTGCTATTTTCTTCAGGTGCAGTTTAAGCAAAGAAACGTTGCACTCAATCGGCACTATTTGCCAAGTCCTTCGAGGAGCAGGTAGCAAATAATTCCAACATTTTGTAGCGCTCGCCAAGCCTTGTGCACGGAATCGCGATACCTTCCTCGGCTTACCGAACCCAGCTTAAGCCGGACCACCCACGATATTTGAACAGGACTCTAAGACGGAAATGCTCCAATTTAGACAGTCATCGCATTCCTATAACGTGAATCTAACCTAGTGCAGAACGGCAAGAACGGTGCCTATAAAGAACTAGCGGCATTACCCCAAGGAACGACTACTCCCTTAAATCGTCATTGCACGAAATAGGATTGACGGTAGACTCACAATTCTAAATGCTATAAAGGGAAAGGGCAGGGCCACATAAACCATTAGTGCGTGACGCAGATAGCTCGCCCTAGAAAAATGTAGCATAATAGCAGATATGCAGGAAAAGTAAACAAAAAAAAATGTGATAGTCAAGTCCCTGATAGGCGCGATATCCGAGGGTCCCCTATGACGGGCCCTTTTTTTTCTTTTTTACAAAGTGCCATTCACGGTAACGCTCTATGCACGTCCGTGACGCCAGTATTCATGGCAGTGGTGTGGAACGTAACCCTCAAAAATATCGAATTAAATTCAAAGCACATCGCCACCATTTCATGGAACTTTTCCCGCATAGGCCCTTATTTCCCCCGCATTTCTCGTTACACCGTCCCGTGGTTTTTAATAACAAGTTCAGGACGCCTTTATTGGCGCGTAAACGCAGAACGGCGATAAGCTCGCAATTGATGTAAGCGAACGAGAGCGGTCGTCCATACGCGAGATTAAATTACGCTCGCGAGTTTGCCGGTCGTCGAGCGAGCAGTGGCCACGAGGCGAGTCAATGGCTGACTGACAGCCAGTCCAGGTCCCCGGCCACGTGATTAATGGGACTCCGATTCTTGGCCAGTCCGCAAGAAACCGGAGTAAAAAGATAAATTCTCGGGTGCCGCGGGTCCGGAGCGTCGTGCAAAAGCCGGTAGCCAGCTACGTACGGCCGGCCCGCTGAATGGCCGAAAATAAGATAAACGAAAGTAATGGAGGTACGTGGAAGGGACGCCAGGTGAGCAGTCCAGGTAGACCGACCGCGAGGGGCAGATGGCTCGTCGGACCCACGCGAGCCCACGCCGGCCCACGCCGGCCCACGTTGGGCCTTGTCGGGCCAAACTTAGCGTGGTTTTGGGACCCGTGGCCGACTCATCGGCACTCTGACCGATGGACCTGCTCGGTACAAAATGGACCATCCGCTTTGTGTAGGCGCTCGCATAGGTGCCGCCGCCGCTGTCTCCGATTAATAATAGGTCGGGCGCGGATCCTCCGAGGACCGACGCGTGCGGAACACCTGTGCACGCGATCGGGACACGCTAATAGGAAAAAGGGAAGAACGCGACTGAGGGAGGGGCAGGGTAAGGGGGAATAGGCGAGGAACTCTAGGATTGCGAATTTTCGTTTTTGAAGAATGGCCGTTTTACCGACGCGGCAGACCGCTCTGCGGGATGCTCGCCGGACGTGGTAGAAGAGAAAGTGCTCGTTCTATTCCCTGAATAGCAATGCCATCCAATTTGTGGAGTGCCAAGTAGAAACCGATTCGACGGCAATTGCGGGGAGGCGAAAGATCAGGGCAAAAAGGATAAAGTTTCGGTTTTAACGTCGATGCTCGATGCATTCCAGGGGGTGTTGCAACATCGAAGATTTGGTTACGCATCGTTGCGTCTTGTACCGTTACGAAATACCGACAATCGAGACATTTGCTCTAGTTTGAATAGAGACTCGTTTCTTGATGAGATTTTATATTCTCACAATTATGGTCCTCCGCGTATACCCTTTTTTTTGTTTTTTTTTTTCATTTAACTTGGGCTGTACTTTAGTTCGACGCGAGGTCCAGACGGAAATCAGGAAAGTCGGTGACTTTTGAGATGTCCCGAGGGAAAATAGAAACCGGCATTGTGTCACGTATGTCCCTGCAGGTACGCTAGACTTTAAGCGTGTCACGTCGCGAGGATGGTCGGTTCCCTTTGGCACGAGCCGTTAGCCCGTTTCCTAGCCACTGCCAACGGGGCAGAGAAAATCTCTCCTAAGAATCGTTAGAAACTCTCGGTCAAATCCGAACTCTCGTTCATTCAGAGATACCAAATGGAGAAACTTCCCCGCGGCGCGTTTTACTCGTCGGCGTCTAAACTTTGGAATGCTTTATGAACGAATTTCCTCGGCGTTTCATTAACTGGCATTGTCTCGTCTTACCCCGAGAACGAACGACGCAACTTTCGGGATAACTTTTTTGCCTATAAGGCATCATTGTATATCTCCGAGACTATTACCCGAAAAGTGCCTGCAGTGCAAAGGATTAAATGGGACTTTCGACATTTTCCCTGATGCTTCGAACTTAATTCACGAATTAATGTCTGAAGGCGATATCTTCTTTCTTTTTTGTAATTTACTAATGATGTTGCATCGTGAGAACGAACCGTTGGAATAGAAAAAGACATTCGACCAAGTTTCCAAGTTTGGGCGCATTTTAAAGATCGGTGGCATTTGCGGGGACCATTACACGGACATGCGCAACGTGCCTACATGCGTGCCGTGGTTACGTCACGTTTATCTAGTTTACTCAAGTAATTAAGTAATTGAGCTTTATTGATATGGCAGGGGAAGTAGTATTCGTGTGGGGGTGGACGAAATATATGTCCGATAGGGGGACCTCGACCCGCATGAGAACAATTTCCACGGCATTCTTTGGAAAACGCAGAAGTTTTCGCTGGGAGTGCCGTCTAAGGACATAGAGGCATTAATTGGTATACCTGCATCGGTTGCCTTTTCTGATCTCCTGGGAAACGTGATATTTTAGCGCCAGACAGGTTTCCGTTCCGCAGAAATGACGAGTTCTTGCCGAAGCCAAGATTTTACAGTTTCGTGTCGCCGAGAAGTAAGACGTTGAAGAAACGCGGTGCTCAGAAATCAGGACAAGTATCCTTTTCAACGTTAAGTAAGAAAAAGATAAGAATTGTTCTAGTTGCCGTAAATATGTTTTATAGCAACACCCCCTTCGGTGAAATATTTAATATATGGCTATTTTTTTCAAGAAGGTATTTAAAAAAATAAGTACATAACGATATAATTTTACAATAAATTGAGGGAGTAATAAAATACCGATGGAAAGTTGCTAAAGTTATGAAGTCATACTTCCTTTATAAGTTAAATTGCCTTACGACCAATGATTATGTATATATCTGTGTTTACTACTTTAACTTCTTTCTTCTTGTATCAAACTCTTATTTCTAACCTCTTTCTGAGAAAGGTTACAAGTTCAAAACCTACGATAATCCCGAGACGTATTTCGCGCTTGGTATAAGATTTTTATCGAGGGCCAATTTTGTTTCGGTACTATTCCGATTTACCGATACAACGCGGTACTCATCGCGGCACGCATAAAGCATGCGTTATCAGTTGATTAACACACGGCGGTGGGTAATCCCGACTTACTAAAATTAGCATCCCACTAATTGCTCGTGAAAACTCGTCGTCTCCACGGTTCACATGCCCGTAGTTTCGAAACGAGATAGGCTGGCATTTTTTACTCGTAAACACAGCCTTTGACTTAAACTCCTAGAGTTCTGATAACGTTGGTTACGAAACTCCACGTATTGTGCAACCGACCAGTTTGTCTCCTATGAAGTCCCCTCTTCCTCCCTTGCAAACCGTTTTAACCGAAATCTTATCTTTTGCTATCATCATTCCAAACCTGACGTCACCGAATCACCCAATAAAGTTAAGTACATCCGGAAGGTTGCTATCAAAACATTTTCCATTCACCGATATATCTCCCAAATACTTCGA